TTGCAACCCCGTTGCAGGTCATGGAGAAGACTTTTCAAAATGTTGATCAGGATGATGCCTGAGTTCCTTAGAAAGGTTGGGAATGTGGATGGGTTTGGAGGAGGGGTTTAAACTGGGGAGGGAAAGGTTACAGCTGGGGTACTTTCAGGCACTGGGAGCCAGGGTGGTTTCCTCTGAAATCTGGTTTGTTGCAGATTTGCTTAAATTGACAGTTCGGTGGCAGGCCCGACAGTTGAAGTCACGACAGATGTCTGCTTGTTTGGGGTACTCAGGGCGTGGAAGGGGAGCCAAAGGTATCAGAGAAGGAAGTGGTGTAGGAAGCTGTGGGGGGACGAAAAGTTTGAGGAGGCTTTCATCAATTTGGATAACCCAGGGTAGAATGGCGTGGCAATGGATGCAGTAGCGGCGGGTCTCTTCATTCAAAATATCATTGTAGAGTTGTTTGTTAACTACGCCATTGTAACACTGGAGGCAGCGATGTAGTGAAAAGTTGTATTATACCCAAGCCAGGCTGATGCTAACACTTTCTACTAAACTTGCAAATTTGGGCCTGATATGCAAGGAGGTCTGGGGCAAGGTGTGGGTAAAGCAATAAAACTAAGCACAGGTGGACGTTCCAGGCTTCAAGTCAAGAGGATAGCCCATCAATAAGACGTTTCTTGTGCCGAGAAGGGACGGAGGCTAGGGCAGTGGCTCTTGAGGGTCAACAGTGATGGTGAAGTTGTTCTGGAAGGAGGCAAAGGAGGAATGTAGATGCATATTATCTGGCAAAAGTTCGTTGAAATCAATGTACTCACGTTTGGCTATGTCAGAACGAAGTTTCTATGGCAACGGTGGCAAGGTAGGGTGGTGTTAGGTGTTTAGAGTTCATGTTGTTTAAATTTGATTGCTTTCATTATAAGTATAGAAACGGAGGTTTCGCTTGTAGCCCTGGCTAAATTTATGTATTAGATAAAGATACTACTATACAGGGTGTTTCAAAAGTTCGTTCCAATTGTAAATTGTATTTTGCGCAAAGCATTTAATGCTTCTTTAGGCAAAAGTAAACTGATTCAGGTAAGAAATTTATCTGAATAACCGTTCAAAGCAATTTCAAACTAACATTTGAAGAAATGATAATTTTTTGTAATTTTTTTTTTAAAGTTTTGTCCCAACTGTACACGTATGCCAGATTTTTCCCACTATACTTTTCCTCCCCATTTTGTAGGTTGGGTATTTTGGTGTTTTTATCGCTTGCTTTTCTTTTCTCTACTCCTTCATGAAAATGAAGGCCTACTCTGTTTGTGTTTGAGCTCAGGCATCTATTTTTATTGTCTTCTGGCTATTCAGACACAAAAAATTGTCAAATTACTGAAGAAGTCTGAACGATGACGGAACAAGTGGTCAGAAGTAAAGACCTTAGAAGACAAACCAAGGAGTGGATAGCCATTTTTTCACAAACCGGGTGAGAAATATTATCGAAAAAGCTGTAAATATATGCGTAATAATTCCACAGAACAGAAAGGTAAAAAAATTTCACCTTTACATTATCGATCAAAGTTTCGAGCACAGCGGTGTGGGGATAAGTTACCAAAAAAAGTTGGAAAGCCTTGAAAAGAAAAAGGCGGTGCACACTTCATGCAGGCATGGTGTCAGAAGGATTTGCCAACTTTATACCAAAGGAGGACCGGCAGGCAGACTCATATGATGTGAACGTCCTAGAGACCATCTTGATTATCGTAGATGAGACAACATACAAAGATCCAGCCCCCAAAACACTGGATGAGCTAAGACGGTGACTACGCTTTGCCTGGAAGAATGTGACTTTGGACGCGCTTTGGAAGCTCGTACATAATGTATACCTCACCGCTTAGAAAATGTCAGAAAACACACAGAAAGACATTCTGGTCACTAATATTTTAGTTATTCAATGTTAAATGAATAATGAATAACATACTAAGTTTTACAAGCGGTTTTTTTTAAATAATTAGTGAAATTGAAGCGAATAAAAATGGGAACGAACTTTTGAGACACCCTGTACGTATTCTTTTACAGACTACTGCTCGCCCCAGAGGCACGAGGGATCATGAACAAGTATTGTACTTGCGTACATGAATTATTTCTTTTGACCTGGCCCAATAATTAGCTCTTGTATTGAAGGGAGGTAACAAACCTAAGAGCTTGTGATGCCCCTCACTCCCTATGACCAATGACTGGAGAAGTGCTCATGTCGTCCCACTTTTCAAAAAAGGGGAAAAGTATGATCCAGGTAATTATAGACCTTTTCCCCGTACTGCTGTGTTATGTAAAATCATGGAACATAATATTATTTGTAAGAACATCATGCACCATCTTGAGGACAATAACATCTTATTTGCGAACCAGCAACAACCAATCTCGAGTCACAGACGAAAATCTTGGAGGATCATGCGTCACATTGAATATATAATTCATGAATCACAACTGTATTTCGTAAGTTTTCCCAATTCATGCTCTGTTTACGGGTCAATTCATGGATCACACGAAACCCGTTCCAGACCCTCTGACTAAATAGATCATTACAAAGCTGTTTTCGCCTGTCGAAAAAGGTTGTCAAGCCACATATAACTAGCGCCTTCCTATAGGTGTGCTCAGGATAAGAATTCTCAATGTTTTTTGAATCTGGTCCACTGATCCGATTAATATGCAGGTAACCTAGAGTGAAATGATTGACAGGCATACTCAAGGACTGATTTAATACAGGACAGAAACATTAGATCAGTGATAGACTGTCAACATCCGTGTGCCTCAGATGCTTTGACCGTAATTATATCGATATGTTCGTTCCATTTTAAGTCCTCTCTCACAGTCACGCCCAGGATTTTTGCCGATTTCACCACCTCAAACAGTTTCCATCAGACTCTAGGGAATGATGACCTCACTTTTCCTACAAAGTCATTGACGTATCTTTGGCACTTCAGTTGGCACTCTTCTAAAGGGTCGCTATTGCTTGTTCCCCGATTTCTTTTGACACACCTTTTTAAATGGCCTTGCAGGTGTTTTTGTTTACTCACTTTTTGTCCTTTCTACCTTCCCACACTTTTACAGGCAGAACGTGGTACGTTGCTGCAGCTGAGGCAAACTTTCTTTTCATTTCTGTCCTGAAAGCTAACTCTGTTTTCTCTACCTCATTGCCTTCTAAACCAGCACATTGAATTTGGGCACCTTTGAGATCCTTTACAAGTTGACCGTCTCCTTATACAACTAAAGTTAAAGTAGGTGTTTTATGGACCGCCATCAGAAGTAGAGAAAAGCCGGATTGGACGCATTATACTGCCATTAAACACTTTGTCCCCATCAATACTTCATGGCAAAACACCAACTTTCTGTCTTTTCTTTCCAGAGAATTTAGATAGTTCTGTTACTTTCAATTTGAAATTAAATGCTGGCGTTAGAGAAAGAAAAAAATGGAGAACCGCATTTGAAAATAAAGTGAAGTGTGACTTAAAGAGAAATATTGTTCTAGACTTGGAGGTAGTTCGTCGGTATATTATCACAATATGGTCTTGTTATGATCAGATATCACCACAGTCATCAGGCAATTACAGTGAAGTGAAGTATAAAATGAAGTGTATGTATTTCAATGAGTTGTAGCAAAGAGGGGACCCCTTCATGTTCTCATGCACTTTCCCCCTTTCTCTTCCCCTTGAAATGAGTGTCAGGCGGGTTATATTGTTCCGTGTTCATTTTCATATAAACTGACAATGAGTAAATTAAGGAGATTGACCGAAAATGTACATAACAATAGCATAAATTCTAAAAACGTTTGATATTACGTAACCATAACAGTTAACAGAAACAGAAAATAGGTAACTTGATTGTAGCAAATGACAACCAAACAAACAGCCGGAGGAACAAAAATATTCTAATCCTTTGTTAAAGACTGTGAATTACTAAAAGCTATTTCCTCAAATTTTCAGGTAACTTAGAGGCGGAAGCCAAAGTTATTAGAACTTCAATACAAGTTTGAAACGATAAAAACAGGAACTTGTATCATTTACATCTTTGTCTTTTCTAGCCAATACAATTAGTTAAAACTTGTTGAATAAAAACTATAAAATGAAGCTGAGAATTTAAAGTCAAATCAATCAAAAATAACTGAAAGAAATCAAAAATCTATCTTTGTGGAAATTTAAACTTGTAACAAGTTATTTCCTTAAATTTCCAATTATCCCAGAAGGAAAAGGTATTAGGCTCAGGCATGGTGGCCGGTTAGGGCCATTCTAGGGAAATGATTTAGTTTTGAAATTTGTGAAATGAAATTTTCTTAACCTAAAATAGTGTATATCATACAAATTGATAACTGCACAATTTTTCTTTTAAATTTAAACTTACACTTGGATATTCTTGCTGGGTTGATATGTACAACTACTGTAGATTTACACATATAACTGTACATTTACACTTATAACTGTAGATTTACATCTATAACCGTAGATTTACACTGTCTTATAACTGTGAATTTACACATAATTGTGGATTTACACTTATAACTGTAGATTTACATGTATAACTGTAGATGTACACTTAAGTGTCTGTACATCAAGACAGAATCACAACGTGATGATACATAAACCGTACTCACAACAGTTAACCTACTTGGAACTCAAGAACTGAAACGAAAATGAACAACAATAAATGAACTTGATACTTCTAAATGACCAATTTTCAACTGAGCTAAAATGAGTATCTTCAACGGTAGACAATAAACTGATTAAAGATTTGCAGACATACTTTACAGAGTTCCCATCTCAAACGATGAATCCTCTGCTAGCATGAGGTTAAATTCCTTCTTAAACTCTGTAAATGATAGGTAAGTGGTCGAAATAAACAATGTGCTTGAGCATGTAGAGGGTGATGAGATCACTGGGATAACGAATAAAGATCACTGGGATAACGAAGTTGAGCGAAAACTTTCTGAACAGATGGTAGAAGCTAAGGGCCTTGTACAACTTCTTTATTCTATCCACTGGCAAATTTATTTAAAAAGCTTCAAGCTCTCTTCCTTGCATGCCATTGGCCATCCTCATCGAGGAAGGTATTGGCCTGCACACAAAATGGTATCTTGCCATTGTCACAACATGACTTTGTAGCTGATCTCGGGTGTTTGTTACAGCACAAGTCATGCAAGTCATGTTGTACTGTTCATAAACGCCGAATATCGCATCTTGTTGGAATGAAGCTAGCAGCTTTGTAGAGAGAGCTTTGGTAAGCACATCCCTTTCATACTGGCTCAAATAGAATAGGAAACACCTTTCCAGCGTGCTTGTCATCCACAGACTCCTCTCCATGAAATAAGCAAACCCATGATGCCTCACAGAAACGTATTGGGATTTGTTTAGTAACCTTCCATGGTAAAGTATTGGTCCTAACTTCTGGATTACTGCCTTCATTTGTATTTGCTGTTGAGGAGGAGCAAAAGGAACTCTCACCTTGTTTCCTTCGAATATTCATCATAGGCAGCATTCCAAAAAGAAGAAACAAATCCATCGTGGGTCCTCCAAAGTCCAGTCCAACCTCACCCTTGAAGGTATCATTTAGTTTGCTTTCTGGTATGGACTTGTCCTCTTGGAGCTTGTCCAGGGGACAAAACGCGCTTTCACAACACAAGGGTCCCTGAACACAAGTTTAATAATCGAGAGTTGCACACTCAGCATATTTCCTCAACAACACAACAGGATCGAATTTGGAGTCTCATCTTTGGCTAACAAGCTTCACCTCGCAAGTAAAAACCCACAAAACAAATACTTAATCACTGCTGGAAAGGGATTTGGAAATAAACGAGCTCCTAAGACTCACCATACGATGAGAAACTCCCGGCGACTAGCGCGTTACAAAGCACATGGTTTCTCGCTCCACGACGACACTGAGACGCGCTCACTAAGCATGCTGGGAGAATAAATTACAAAACGGAATGGAACGGACTAGGAAAACAAAAAAAAATGTTCTCTTGTTGAGGATTGGCCTCAACATCCCGGGGGGTAGGGCTGAACGAGCCCCCGTAGACAATCACTAATCAATGTTAAAGTTCTAAACCGACTGTTAGTTCACGACAATGTTTTCAGTTCAATCTTGCAACGTTCAGTGCACTCTACGGCAAACCCGTCACGCAGCTTCTTCAAGAAGACACAGCTTGGTCACAGGACGAGTAAGAGAAGAGTCCTTTGTCTTCACTTCGGCGGTGCGGACACGTGAATCTTCACCAGGAAACACTTTCATTACGCGACCCAGCAACCAGCGGGATCTCGGCACAGTTTTGTCCACCACAAGAACCAGGTCATTCACTGCCAAATTCCTCTTGTTTAGTAGCCACTTGTGGCGTTGCTGTAAAATAGGCACGTGCTCTAGAACCCATCGCGACCAAAAACAGTTAGCAAGGAATTGCGCATGTCTCCACTGCTTGCGTGAGTACAGCTCTTCCTTGGCGAAGACACCGGGGGGTATGGCGAGATTTCGTCGCTGTAGAAGTAGGTGGTTTGGAGTGAGTGGCTCCATGTCACTTGGATCATCACTTGCTGGAGAAATGGGACGACTGTTTAGAATGGACGTGACTTCGGCGAATACGGTGCGCAGGGTTTCCAAAGGGATTGCAGCCCCTGGTTTGCTCAAGACAGCATTCATAGCCTTCCGCACGCTTCTAATAAGCCTCTCCCACACGCCTGACATGTGGCTCGCGGTAGGGGGTTGGAAACGCCACCTTGGCAACACATATTTGAACCACTCCGCATCGTACGAATGTAGCTCTCTCCTGATTTGTTCTTCATTTAGTTCTCGAACCGAACGCCGAAGTTCCCTCTCAGCGCCAGTAAAATTCGTGCCGTTATCTGACCAGATTTCCTTAGGGCAGCCGCGAACAGAGATAAACCGGCGGAGAGCCAAAATAAACGTATCTGTTTCTAAGGAACTAACATCTTCGATGTGGACTGCTCGGCTGTTAAAGCACACGAATATGCAACCATACACTTTGATAACACTACGAGCGCGCTTCACGTAGAAGGGGCCAAAGAAGTCGAGGCCCGTAAAGGTGAACGGGGGATGATAAGGTACCAGCCTTTCCTTTGGCAGGTCAGCCATCGCTTGCTGTAAGGCAGGCGTGTTCCGCTTGCGGCAACTTATACACTTGCTCAGGATCTGACGCACCAAAGCTCTGCCTCTCAGTATCCAGTAACGCTGGCGGAGGACGGACAACACATGTTCACGGCCTGCGTGGCCCAGCACATGGTGGTAGTAACGAACTATCAATACAGACACAGGGCTTGACTTTGGAAGAATCACTGGGTGGGTGGCTTCAAAGGTAATCGGAGCACGGTGAATTCTTCCTCCAACACGTATAATGCCATCAGTTAGGATCGGACTAAGAGTGGCCAAGCTACTGCTACATTTGACCTGTCTGCCTTCTTTCAAAGCCATGTACTCTTCACGGAAATGTTGGCGCTGCACCAGTCGCGTAATTACTTCGCTAGCTCGCTGAAGCTGAACAAGGGTAAGTGTACCTCCGACGATACATTCAGGTTTTTCTTTCTTTAGTGCCTTGACAAAGCGAAGCACCCACGACATAACTCTCAGCAAACGGGACCACGACGAATAGCGCTTAAGTAGGAGATCGACTTGGGACGTTTCAGTGGTGAACATGATTGTGGCTGGTTTTCGTATTTCTTTATCATCACTTCGAATGTCTTCCACCCGAGCATTAGGCCACTGTTGTACAGGCTGCCACAGAAAGGAAGGACCTGACCACCACCGACATCCGGGTTGGAAATGCTTTATGGCGACGCCTCGTGAACCCTCATCAGCGGGGTTCATAGTACCTGGGACTTGATGCCATTGTTCTGGGGTGGTTGATTCATGGATCTCGGCCACGCGATTTGCAACAAATGTTTGGAAGCGCTTCGTTTGGTTTTTGATGTATTGAAGGGAGGTCATCGAGTCTGACCAGAAAAAGATTTCATTTACTCGCAGATCGAGCTCCTTCAGAATTGAGTCACTTAGCCGTACCGCTAACACTGTCGCCTGCAGTTCTAGGCGAGGTATGGTCCACTCTTTGATGGGCGCATTCCTGGTCTTCCCCATAACGAAGGAACAGTGGATCACTCCTTGCTCGTCAATGAACCGTAGGTAAGACACTGCTGCATAACCATGCCTTGACGCATCGGAAAAATTGTGCAACTGCACAGCGGCTTGTCACTAGGGCACTGGGCCTTGTAACACCTTGGTATCTCGATTGTAGTAACACACGGCAGCTCTTGCAACCACTTCTGCCAGAGGGACGAATACGGCTCTGGAATTTCTTGATCCCAAGACAACTTCTGCCTCCACAGCTCTTGTAACAGAATCTTGGCTGTGAACACAAAGGGTGAAAGAAATCCCAACGGATCAAACAGGGAGCTTACGACGGAAAGCACTCCTCGCTTGGTGGATGGCTTGTACGCTTGTAAGGCCTTGAACTTAAAGGTATCTGTCTGTGCGTCCCAGTAGACACCCAACGCTCGCTCTAGGGGTAACTGGTCTAGATCTAGGTCCAACTTGGGATTCGCCCTCGACGCGGGAGGAATTGAGGCTAGTAATTCACGACTATTGCTCGCAAACTTTGTTAGACGGAATCCTCCTTCTCTCAACAACTTCATAAGATCTGAGGTCAGAGGTACGGCTTGATCAATATTTGGGACAGACTTCAGGACATCGTCCACATAGAAATTTCTACGAACTGTTCTGATCACTTCAGGTGGGTAATTTTCTTCATTGTCTTGTGCTGTCATGCTTAACGCCTTGTTGGCACAGCAGGGTGAAGACTTAGCACCAAAAATATGGACCAACATTTTGTATTCCTCTGGAGGCTCGTCAATACCTTTAGGCCACCACAAGAACCTCAGAGAATCTGTATCACTTGGGGATACTCTGGTCTGGTAAAACATGCCCTCGATATCCGCTGAGAAGGCAATTTCTTCCTCACGGAAACGAATCAACACTCCAGATAGGTCATTTGTCAGATTAGGTCCCTGCATTAGCTGTTCGTTTAGGGATGTGCCGCTGAATCTTGCAGCCGCATCAAATACCACTCTCACCTTGCCTGGCTTGTTCGGATTGCTTACTGGGTGGTGAGGCAGGAACCATGTGGTTTTGCTGACTGTTTCTGCTTCCTCCTTTGTGAGCTTTCTTGCATATCCTTTGGTCACACAGTCTTCAATCACAGCTCTATACTTGACTTCAAGTTCTGGATCTCGAAGGAAGCGTCTCTTTAAGTGTTGCAGTCTCGCTTCAGCTAGTGTTCTGTTGTAAGGAAGCACAGGATTGTCACTCTTCCACAGGAGGCCCATCTCATAATGGCCATCATGTTTACAGATTGAATTGGATATCAAGTTCATAGCTCTTTGATCCTCCACAGACAGGGGCTTGGTTTCACACTTGCTCGTACCATAGGACTCGACTCTCCAGAATTCTTCAAGCTGGTCACTTAGGGTAACATCCTCCCCATTAATGAGATTGACTTGCACAGGAGTGGAAGAAGGTACACTGGGACAGCCACCAAGTATACTCCAACCAATACAGGACTTGATTGCGATCGGCTCATTTGGTTTACCTCTTTTAACTTCGAGCGGTATGAAGACCTCTTGGATGTTTGTACCAAGCAGGATAGAAATCTTACTTCTCTCTACTTCCGGGAAGCACACTTGCTGCAGATGTGGCCACTGCCCAACAGACCTTGTCACCTTTGTGTGCTTTAGGGGAATTGTAAGATCCTTTACAGCCCAGGCGGATTTGACATCAATCAGATGGTCATTCTCGCTATCTACTGAAGCAATTTGGAAGTCAACTCTCAGGCCCTCTTCTTCTGCATCGGCATTGTTTACAGTCGTGAGTGACAGCTTACTTGGTGAGCCCTTAATGTTCAGCATTTTCACGAGAGACGGGTCAATCATGGTTATGTCGGAGCCTGAGTCCAGTAGACCAAAGGTAGTAATCTGGTTGCCAGACTTACTAATCACTCGAACTGGGATGACTTGAAGCAACACTTCACACGAATTAACTGTGGAGCACATAGAAATAGTGGCTTGATCAGGCCTTAAGCCTTGATTAACGTCCTCACCGTTAGGACCGTCCCTTTGCTGGTTCCCTCTGTCTCTAGGTTCAGTGAAGTGTAACAATGTGTGATGCGACTTCCCACAACCTTCTACCCTGCACCTGATTAAGGACTTGCACTTCTTTGAGTTGTGTTTAGTTGAGCTGATACAATTGAAGCAAATCTTCTTCTGTTTTACAAAGTCATTTCTCTCCCTTGGAGACTTGGATTTGAATACTTCACAACGGTACAGTGGATGGTGTTGATGGCACATTGCACAGGATTCAGGGTTTGTTGCTGTTAAAGAATAGGTAAAACCCTTAGGAGTTCCTGACT